GCAAAGGGAGATGTGGTTTACCCGGGATCGTGCAGTCGCCTCTGCCGCTCGTCCGGCAGAGGTGCAGACCTCTCCTGGGGGAGGGGGTGCCAGCAGGCTTGGGGTTCACACAGTTCTAGCCTGCATCCCCAGTGGGCCACTTCCTAACCATGTGACCGCGGTTAAGTGGCATCACCTCCCGAAGCCTCTGCTGGATGTAAAAACTCAAACTTTATTTTGAAGCCTAACTACGGATGTATTTTAAGAGCACCTGTGACAGGTTTTCCTCCCTCCGATCCCACCAGTTTGTAACATTTACCACCTAAGACCCAGCTGGGAGTTTCTTTAATCCGTTTCCAGGCCAGCGTCTGGGTCGTTTGTATGAGACCTGCCTCAGGCCTCTGCAGGTGAGACTGAGTCCTCTGGGGCCAGGTGGAAGGAAGGCCTCTACAGGTGGCCGGGCCGGCACACGAACCAGCAGAGCCCTGGCAGGCAGAACTTGATTAGGAGTCCTGGGCTCCTGAGCCCTGTCACCTCTGGCCGAGTGGCTTCCTTTTTCTGTGCCTCAGGTAGTCAGTTCGGTTCACTATTTCATGCCCAGTGCACAGCGCAGAACCTGGCCCAGAGTAGTAGAAAAACAAATATTTGTTGAATGCATGTATGAGTGAGTTTTGTTTTGTAAAATGAAAGCTCAACTGTCCCTGGGTTTTTGGGATCATAGCAAAGAACAGAGACCATGACAGAAGGCCAGCCTTCCTGGGAGGGGGGGCTCGGGTGCTGGTGGCCTGGTCTCTGAGCTTCCATTCAAAGACAGCCACTTTCCTGTTCAAACAGAAGAGGCTGTGCCTCAGCCTCACTCGGTGGTGATCACGGATGGGTACAGAGGTGGCGCTTCTGGGCTCCAGAGAAGAGTCGAGAAGAACCAGAGGGTGACCTCTCCCTAAGCCCGTGTGTCTGACCCTCTCCTGTGCCTGCGTCTATGCTTGGGCTCTTTTGCTGTCTTGCTGAGATGGCCATGGCTCTGACTCTGGCATGGACAGAATTGCGGCAGAATAACTGCTCTGGCTCTTAGTCAAGTGACCTTCGTGCCCGCATTGGTAAAATTGGAGGAAAAGGCTCAGGATAGCTCTGATGAGGAAATGAAAGCCCGTAAGGCCAGGGCCGACTCGTGGCCGGCAGTAATGCTATCTGTCTGCTTTAAAATAGTCCTCATCCTCAGAAAAGTGAAGCCAGGTGGACTCAATGCTTTCCTCCGCGAGCCTTAGTCTGTTTGTTCCGGAAACATGGGTAGTGGTGCTGTCAGCTCGCTGCGTGGTCATCACTGCGATGGAGAGTGTAAGAGAAGCCACTTTGCACAGTGTGTGGCCTGGCTGTGGAGGGGACGTGCAGTTTTCTCTCTCACCTTGGTGAGAATATGCATAGTTTCCACTGGCGGCTCCTTGAACCTGGGACTTTCTCTCTGGCAGGTGAATGCCCACAGCCCTCACGGTCAGTGGTCCAGAGGAGCAGGGCCCCATTGGGAAAAGGAGGAGCGTGGCCTGGGGCCTCTGATCCCACCTCTCTCCCTGCTCCCACCTTTTGGTGTCAGCGCTAGAAGGCCTGAGTCCTGGGCCAGAACAGCTAAAAGATCCTCTTTGTACCAGATGAGAGCCGGGGTGGGGTGGGGGGCTTAGCTGGGCGCCTTTCCTGAAGTAGCTCTTCCCCAGTTCTACTGCTGCTCTCTCTGTTTCCTTTTTCTTTCTTTGGCCTCCTTCCTACTCTGTGACAGCACCTTGCTCATTGTCTAGCGGTAAATGCCTCTGGGAGAGGAAGCTCGCTCGGCTCCCGCTTCCTCCCCGAACCCCACAGGGCAGTCTGAAGGTGTGAGCCACCAGTAATGGTTGCTCCATAATTGAATAACGAGGTGTGGACTGCACGGAGGGCTTCCTGTGTTCTACGTAAGTGTTCCAAGGCTTAGGCTGTGTGCATTTATTCAGTCCTAAGCAACACCTTAAGTACGCACCACTTAAAATCCCATTTTACAGAGGAGAACTTGGAGGCGCAAAAGGTTTATGCAACGTGCCCAGGACAAGGCATGAACACGGCAATTTAGTGAAGAGATCTGGGGGAAAAAGTTTTGTTTCTTCACTTCTCCCGTGCTCAAGTTAGACCCAGCCGGGGAGGGCGGTGCGACTCCTTGGGCTCCTCTCCTCTCCGCCGGACCAGCCTCTCCAGCCTGGGTCCTGCTTGGTGTGTGTTCGCTCCACCCTTCTACTTCCCTCCAAACTCACAGGCTCGAAACCCTGACATGATCGCGCGAGGCCCATGTGGGTCCCCAACCCCCACCGTGGTGCGAGTCCCGGTGCCCCTCCCCCAGCCTGCACGGGGCGGAGCCGGTGAGGACCCTGCGGGGAGAAAGCGGCTCCACTTCGATCGCTCTGATCGCTCTTTCCGATCGGGTCAGGTTTCCCTCCGACCGCCCCGGGACGGTGCTTCCACACCAGCCGGACTCCTGGAGGGGCGGGGTTCGCTGGCGCCTCCGCAGGGGCTTCCCCCGGATTGCGGACCGGAAAGAACCCGGTGCTCCGGTGAAGCCCGAGCGCTGCTCCAGGCCCCGTGCGGAGCTGGGCTCAGTCCACCCGAGGTTCTCCGCCCCTCACCAGTTCAGCCCAGCCCACGGGCTCTCTCAGTCCCTGTCTTTCTCCAAGGTTCCCCCAATAGTTAAAAGATTTTTATTTCTAGGGTTTCACACAGCCAAATTCCATATATTCATCCTGGGAAAAATCAGAATTACAAAGGGAGGGTAAAATTACAATTTCACCTTCTGGCGGGAAACCCACCCCCAAGCTCACCTCCTTTCTCCTCTTTCCCTCCTACCCCCACCACACTTTAGCCCTACTCAAACCCTGGCATCTCTGCCCTCCACAGACACCGCCCCCCAGGCTTTTCTAGGCAGCTCACCTCTTGGCAGATATAGTTAATGTCCAACCCTCATAAATCAAGACCATAAAAAGCTTACTTTCATATGCACTCAATTTCTACCAAACCTAAACTAATTGCATAAATTCCTTTAGGCCACTCAGAGCTGCTCTCTGGGTTGGGATCTGATCAATTAGTCATTAGGCACTCCATTAGCTGGGGTTTAAGCTGTCTCATATAAATGTCTCCTGTCAATTTGCTTGTAATTGAATGAATAAAAAAAAGGGTACAGTTATTAGCACAGATCAGAATGAGGAGAGGTTGATTTTATTCAAATATTCTAAAAATGTCTTCATCTAATAACAAGAACAATAACCAGCAGGCAT